GCAAGCTAGCCAGACTCCAGGAACAGAACAGGACAGAGAATATTTGAGATTAAAATTAAGAGGACAAAGCTTCAGACTGATCATCAATCTAAGTATCAGGAAATAACCAAAATGCTCTCAGAAGGGCAGCTGGTCTGGGTAAAGAGGACAAGTTCAGCTCTAAACACATCTGTAAAGTCTGTAATCAAATGGCAACAGCCAGAGGGAGGTGTCAGGTAGCCAGAGAAGGTATAGCCAATGGACGGGGGAGTTCAGAAGGCCATGGGCAGGTGACAGAGAATTTGGGGAGTAGAGCTCCCAGGTAGAGAGCAGGGAAGCAAAAGATGGAAGCAGAGGTATGCCCAGTGGAGCGGGAGGAGGAGGTAGAAAAGAGATGGATGAAGGCGGGAAAGCAAGACAGGGAGCACAGGCTGGACCCAGGCCCCTGAGGAACAGCCTGCAAACATTAACCCCAAAGAAATCCTGGTGTTAGTTAAAACCTCCTTGGAAGAAATTCCCATCAACTGGGTTCTGATTACATATCTCTTTATTGTGTGGTGGAGAATGGCAGGAATATGTCCTTTACATTGTTCTGTAGCTGACATTTCTACTGGTCCTTAAATAATGGCAGGAAGAACAATGCTCTAAAGATATTATTTTAGGCATTTCTATTGTTGCTTTTGCTTACTTTATCCCAAGAACTCCAAATACCAAACCCACTTAAGAGACACATTCATGAGGTTAATCCGTTTTCAATGTTGGGAACAATTGTTGTTCAACAATGTTTGTTGTGAACAAACATTTTATTGTACAATTCCTCTAAAAACAGATTTGTGATGAGCTCACTTCTTGATACTCTCCCCTTATCTACAAGGATTGTGATCCAGTGAGACTGGTAGGTTCCATTGTCTGTAAAATCTTTACCAGCTCTTCATTAAATAACCCAACTCGTAAGGCCCTCTTCCCCATTCTCAGAAATATGCCCCTCTTGTTAATGAGTAATGTAGGATTGTGTTGAGTTCCCTCCTGCCCTTGCCCAAACCAGGGTAGGTTTTCTGGGTCAATTCCTGCAGGCACTCCTGCCTTGAGTCAATCATCCATGTTTAACTTTCCAACCTCCCCTCACCCCCAGTAGGCCTCCCACCTGGAGAGAAGAGTCAAGTCACACACTGGGCTAGGCGCTCCTTATCACTCATGTCTTAGACCTCGCCTCTTCTATTCCTCAAGGGCCACAGGAGACCAAAGGTCAGCCACCCAAACTGCTAATCCCCAAAACAAAGGAGTCTGGTATCTCCAAGAAGGAAGTTTCAAGGTCATCATGGAATGCAAAGACCCATATGACAGAGGCTAGGTAAAGTCCTCCCAATTTCTGCTACAAGGCACCGTAACAGTCATTGGCGCTCTCTCGCTCTCTCTCTCTCTCTCTCTCTCT